GTGACTGCTGCTTTCTTTTTTAATCAGTTAGCCCCACTCTAGTGAGCGTTAGTGTCACTCTAGTCTGCCCTCCCTATAGCTAAGATTTACTGAGATCATTAACCATAGAATTACTTTTACCCTCGACAGCAGCCAATCCAGAGCAAACTCCCACTTCCTTAAAACCTAGCCAAAATCATGAAATACCATCCCAAATCTTGTGACAATTCCTTTTGTAACATCCTCTTACCGAGGTGTCCCATGGTTCCCCATGGTGTGCCTTCTCCTATACTACAATGAGCAGTAAACCCAACCTGTCATGGGTGTGCTCCTGGTCGTTTCTGGCTGTAACACATTGGACACCTATAAATACATTCCTATCTTATGAGAAAGAGAGAGAGAGAGAAAACACCCATCCTTCCCTTGAGCCTGCTTTTCCTTCTGGTTGCCTTATCTCTCTCCCTTTTAATTCAAGATTTTTTTTTTTTAAACCTCAACTTTAAACACTGCCTTAAATTTACTTCTCAAACCACAATAATTTTTTCCCCCTCCATTATCTGATTCCAAAGCCTGGGCAAGAACTCTCCACCCTGCAAGGCAGTTTCAGTTGTTCTGGCCTCTCCTGCAACCAGCTTCATTCACAGTTTAGTTGCTAATGACCTTCTAACGGAAAAATCTTATAGCCTTTTCTCATACTTCATCTTCTCCATTCTCTTGGAAGTTTTTGTCCCTGTTGAGCGCCTCTACCGTGCTGGAATGTCTTTCTCGAGTGCCCCCACCCTCACGCCCCCGACCTTGCCACTTCTCCAGAGTTCCCTCTTCTTCCTGCTCCTGTGCCATCACTAGCATTCCACACTGGGGCCCTTCCCCACTTCTCCCCAGGATCTCCCTGGATGAGCACACTCCTTCCTCGGCATCAATATGCTGGTAGTTCTCAGATCCGCCAGCGGGCTGCTAGTTAGCCCTGTGGGATGGAAAGAAACTTCCTCAGAGCCAATGTGTTGAAGTCCAATTTATTATCTGCTCCTCCAAACACCTCTAATATTTTTCTCACTTCTTCACTCAATTCCTGAGCCAGAAACCAAAGAGTGGTCCTGGATTCTCTCCCTGCCCTTACTCCCCACACTGCCTTCTCTGAAGTCTCTCTAACATATCCCTTTCTTTCTGGTCTCCAAGACCCAATTTTAGTTCAGTTTAAAATTTAGCTATCACCAGAATAACTACAGTATCCCACTACCATGTTTCACTGCCTCTAATTCCTACCTTCTGCAACTCATTCCACCCCATTCTCAGTTTTTCTGAAACACAGATTGTTCATGTCACTCTCCTTCTTCCCACTGCCTACTGAACAATGTTTATGCTCCCAAGTATATAAGAGAGGGCTCTTTGTGACCTGATCCTGATCCAATAATCCTCCCAACATCATGGCTCAGATGTAATGAATTGCTGGGTAACTTCCTCTTTCTAATATCTGTTAGTTTATTTTACTTCAACTGTTCATTCATTTCAATAAACATGTATTGGGGTGCGTACTATGAATCAGGCATGGTGCAAGGCTTTAGAGAGTCAGTAATAAAAAGCACAGTCCTTACCCTCAAGGAACTTATATTTAATGGCACACAGGGAATGTGTGATAGTGTTCCTATTACGATATGCAATAAATAGTTGGCAAATAAATGAGTACATGGTTGATGAAGGGCTTTATTTGAAAGGCAGTATAACGTGATGGTTAATATCATGGGCTACATGCCACACTGCCTGGGCTCCAATCCCAGCTCTGCCAATTTCTAGCTGTGTGGCCTTTTATTCTCATTGTGGCTTTGTTTCCTCATCTGTAAAGGGGAGATAATCATAGTTCCTCCTTTAGGGAGTTGCTATAAAGATTAAAGGAGTTCATGCTTGTACTGTATAGAGTGGAGTTGGGCACATTTTAGTGGCAAGAGGGTTTCAGCTTGTACTATTATTGCACTGTAAGAGTTGTATCTAGCAGTTACATCACTCTGTATGAGAGTTACCTAGACCAGCTTGAGGAGGAACTTGAGGGAGATCAGAGATGTTTATTCAGGAGAAGGCAATACCTAAGAAGGGTCTGAAAGCCTGAGTTAGCCAGACAAAGATGTAAAAGGGTAGTCCACTGAAGAAAATGGCGTGTGTGTGTGTGTGTGTGTGCAAATAACACTGGGGTGACAAGTGAGGTGCATTCTGGAAATTTCAAGGAAGAAACGAGAAGACGACAAGATATGAGGTGGGGAGGCAAATTGAAGCCAGATTGGAAAAGATTTTCCTTGAACGTTATGAAAAGCAGTAGGAATTTTATCTTGAAGATAAGCAATTGCCTCCAATTGAGATATGGAAGGGCTTTAAGCCAGGAAATGACAGAATCACATTTCCATTTTAGAAAGCTCACAGAGCACCTCTGAATAGGGCACTGAGAAGGTGGGAGCAGGGAAACCTGGCAGGAGGCTATCAAGCAATTCCCAAAGGAGGTGAGGGGCCTGATCGAAGGTGAATCGGTGGGAATAAGAAAGAATCTCCTCTACCTTTTTCTTAAACTGCTTCTATCCTTCAAGATTTGCTCCCTGGGATGCCTTTCCTTAAAGCGCCCAGACAAACTTAGCTACCTCTGTGATTCCTTGATCTGCCATTTACATCCCAGCCACCACGTAAGTCTTTATCACTTAAAGAGCCATGTTTAGCACTGAGCTAACACAGGGTCTTGCAGATGCTGGATACATGTTTGTAAAATAAAACCCTTTCAGGAACGTCTTTTAAGGACAGGGATGGGGATTATAGACTAAGACATCACTAGTTATGTTTTCTGATTCTTTTACTTTTTCCATATGCTTAGCCTGTGCAATAGAGCCTTGTAATAATAGCTGTCCTCAACCTCTCCAAAGCAAAATTGGCTTTGTTTAATTTAATTAAAATCAACAAATACAACTGTGTATGTTGTAATTGAAATGCACTGTGCTTTAGTATATAGAGACTGTCATTCTTTTCTAATAAATATGTTAAATATTCCTCATGCAATGTATGGGAAATTATTACAGGTTAAGTTTATATTATCTTATTTGAGGAGATAATTAATGTTTTAATTAAAAGTAGGTAGGTCCAAAATAAATATATGGTTTATAGTGTCAATTATTTCTCTTATTATCTCTGACAGCAGGAAGCCATCACTCTTGTTAGTATTCTTTCCACCCCCTCTTGGATGGATTGATATGATTTCAGTTGACTGGTTGCTATTGAAAAACTCAATGTTTTCCTTTGGTCGTGGGCTGAATAGCATTTTTAATAACATCCATGTCTGCTATAATATAAATCATGTTTGTGTGCAACCCTACTATAGAAGGCTTTTTATTTCTTCATTGGTTGACAATTTTTTTCTCATTGATTTCTCCTGTTTTTTTCCCCCTTTTCATTTTAAATGAACCCAATCCCAACAACTAATTTACAATAGAAAATATAAAAAAGCCAGGGCTTTAAAGAAATCACTTTTTAGGCAATGACAAATGTTAGTAAAATTACACATATGTTTGTTTCTCTGACACTATGTATTTTTCAAGATATTAATGTCCACCACTGTATATTCTGTGTTTTCAGTAATGTGAACATTTTCATAGTCTGAAAAGAAGATTTACATTGTGATATATTTCTTGAGCCTACTATAAAGGTTATCACGCTTTTGCATTCTCAAAAGTCACAGAATAAAAATCTGTTTAACCCAAGAACACTGATATTTTATTTGCAACTATAATTAGAATGGGATTTTCTGATTCAAGACTTATGTGAACAATCAGAAGTTTGCCAGTAATAATCAAGGGTTACATTACTTAGTGAAAGCCATATTACAAATAATAAGTGGTATTCTCTTAGGATTTTCAAAAAAACAAAATAATTTTTCCTCATTCTTTCCTAAACCCGTTAGATTCTCTTTAGCAGAGAGATAATTGGTAGAAATTTCCTAGAATTATTAAGAATTCAATAATGAAATTCTTAAGTTAACACATTTCCCCCAAATATCACTCTATAAATAATATGCCTATGATAATGGTAAAAATGGTGTGACATTTACAAAGATGAATTTCAAACGTATTTGTTGTCAAAATGTTTCAATCAAGGAGTACATGATGGCTGAGAAAAACTTGTATTGAATCTATCAACATTTTAGAATGGTTGTTATGTGCCAGCACCATGCTTCCGGGGAACCAAACAGCACTAAGGCATAACTTCTATTCTTGAGAAGCTCAGTCTCTCAGGAATATCATCCATCACTTTTCAGAGCTGAGTTCTCTGTGAGGTGGTAAATTCTACAATGAAGACACAAATTAAGTCAGGTAGAAGTGTAAGAGGTAGAAGGAACAAACTTGTGGGGAGCATGAATCCTGGCTTTCACTTTTCATGGTGTGGGTATATGTGTACACATGTATGTTCAGGTGTTTATGTGCAGCTATGAGAGTTTGGTATGGGTGAGAGTCTGATGTGCATGAAGCAGTCATAAAGTAGAAGTCACTTAATGTAACTACTTAATATACATTTAGTGTATCTCAAATGATACAGTATCTATCCACAAATCTGAAATTAACAGTATACACAGTTGAAAACAATCATATAAATACTGCACACATGATCATGTAAAACATGATCAAATACTGAAAAATAAACAAAAATGCTTTCCACAAAGTTGACAAGAAATTCAGTGGCAAATTAAGTATGTGTGTTTTGTAGAATCTTAAAATTACTAAGATTTGTATTTGTAGAATAACTAAATGTAATCCATTAGGCAAAAAATTATGAGAAGATAAATTTTCTCTTGGTCTGTTTTGCTCACAGAAGTCTACAGATATTTACCAATAATTACTAAATAACTAATTATTAGGGATATGAAAAGAACCATAACTAATTTTGAAAGCCTCATGATCAATAGTAATGAAGTGCTTACTTTGTACATAGAACACAGGGCCTACCTACCATGAATGATTTTGACATAACTGACACAGACAAGTGAAAATGATTCTTACCTCCTTGTTCACACAACTGCTGGGCTAAAGCATCTTTGAAAATAATCTGGCCCCTGTGTGTTGCTGTAGCCCTAGAAATGAATAGGAAAAGGTTAATTCAAGTTTGGTGATAACAATGTGTTTTTTAGCTTTTTAAAAAACCTTATTTTTAAACATTATTGTACGAATATGCTTTTTTTTTTTAAAAAAAATGAGTGCTTCTGAACAGTGATACAAATGAACAATAGAGTCAAGGCTTAAACTAAGGCACCTAGATTGAGAATTATCTTCCAGTGTTACTCTGTAAAGATACTCTAACATTTGTGAGCTTCTTCTGAAAATAACAAATGTGAGCAAATCCTGGATAGAAAAAAAAGTATGGAAAGGATGCTTATTAAAATTTCTTCTTCAGAAGACCTTGATATAAAATGTTTTATGGAGCAACAATGATATTAGCACTGGAGAAACATGCTCTTGATGTACTTTTTTTCCTGTAACAAAAGGCACCACAACACACAGAGATTTGAGACAGAGAATTACATTTTTAAAATGTGTTTTTTTAAAGGCTATTTGGAGCTTTCATAATTATAAAATCTGTCATAATAAAATACACCTTTTCCCCCCACCGGGTCTAATTCACCACTTGAAGGAGATGTGCATCTTTTACCTCCTCTAATCAGAGCTGTGCACATGGATTGGTGAAAAAATAACATCCCTGCAGCAGATGTGTTATTCAATGGCGATAATAGGAACTGTCTTATTAAAGGAAGAATTATTTAGGCTTTACGTTTGAAGTGTTTTTCCTTAAAAAGGATTTTTCTGGCATAAAATGTATTGTTTCGACAAATTTAAAACAGAAAATCAAGTCTCTAAGAAACTTGATTTTAGAAAATAAATCATACAAAATCTTTTTAATAACCAAAAAATAATTAACATTAATCTCAACTTCAGCTCTAGCCAAAACCACCCTAGGATAAAAATAACTTGATTTTGCCATCAATTACTGAAGACGGATTATGTACCAGGCACTGTGCTAGGTCACTAGAGGGCAAAGTTTGACCTCTGCATTTCCCTCCGTATGTGTACCCCACAGTCAATATCTTGCCCTTTAGGACCAAACAGGACCTCATGGCTCCCAGCATTCCCCACTCTGGTCTCCATGTAGGTATATCTTCCTCCTCCTTGCTGCAGACCTGTCTGATTTCTGTTCCTCACTGAATTGTCACTAGCACTGGATCAGTCCCCCAGATCCAGCTCTTTGAAAAATAATCTGATAAACTAAGGCATGCTCAAGTGTAAACTAGTGATGTTGCTCCAAGCTAACATTTCATCAGTGGCACTGAAGATATTATACTTTAACACGCACACACACACAGACACACACACACACGGCACAATAGTGAGAGTTTTGAATGGTGAAGGGAGATATCATTGGAGAGAACAATCACCAGGCTGCTTTCAACTCATACTATATGTGAAGTTTGTAGTTTGTAAGGGCTATCAGCCCTCGTTGTTGTATATTAACCATTATGCAGATTACAGATACACATGCTACTATCTCTTCCTCTATATTCCCATATATTTACAGGTTTTCCTTTGCTTTAGCAAGCTGAAAATGAGGAAGACTACACACAGGGCCAATCCAAGCTGTAAACATGATCTACAGATTTACTAATCATTTCAAGATTTTATGTCCAGAGGGAATATGGAAACCTGATTTACCTAAATACATTTCATTGTTTAAACTTCAATTAAGTCAAGAGTTTCTGAGTTTACATACACTTCTAAAATAACACAGAAATCATAAGTGTAAAATCTATTTTGTTGTTTTCTGATTGTAAAGATATATCTCCATTGTAACATTTCCTGCTGGTCCACCAATCAGTTCTCATCGTGCTGTTCTATGCTCCCCAGGAACATGATGAGGCAAAGTACTTAGATAAAGTTCATCCAACAGAGAGGTTTTGCCTTTTTTCTGAATATCAGAGATACTGAAATATCTGTCTTGTCCATGCTGCTTTCCCCATTACTCAGTTTCCTCAGATTAGAATTTGTTGCTTTCATTCATGTTCTCACTTCTGCAACTTTGGTTCAGTGAATAAATTTCTGAGGAACTAGAGAATAATTGAAATTGAAGGAACTTTTATGATCTAGTCAAAATTTCTTGAGCAGTGGAACTCATTCTTTAAACAAGTATTATATAATTGTAATATATGAAACAGAGGAGCTCTAACTTTGGAAGTAATTGGCTTCCCATTCCTCAACAGCACGTCCACCACCACCCATTCCCCCAAACTTCCCAGTGCACCTCTCTGGAACTCTTAGGGCTTTAAAACAGCAGAATTTATATGGATCAGGAAACTGAGGCCCAGTGAGGAACTGCTGAAGGTCCCACAGCCTGTTCATGGCAGATAGGACCTGATTCTAGGTCTTATTCCAAGCCTTGGATTCTTCCCACCGCATCAGTAGTTTTTAAAATGTCCCACAGTGGTGCCTAGGAACCCACAGGAGTCAGAGAGCAGAGCAGTGGACAGTGGGATTTATATGTGCTAATTATTTACTGTTGTTTGAAGAAAGGGCTCAGCAGTTAGAAACTGGCCAGAGGAGCACACCAGGCTCTCAACGACATTGTCTGAAGTCCTCTTAAGTAGTAATAGTGATAATGCAATTGGTATATGCATATATAAGCCATATTGTAACACCTACAATGAACTGAAATTTATCTCCTGTTAGTTGCTGTTGTAAGGGCTTTACATAAATGAACTCAATTAATCTTTACAACAACCCTATGAGGTACATACTATTATCCCATTTCCTGGGACCCAGAACTATTGTGTGATTTACCTAATGTCACACAATTGGTGGTAAAATCAGGATTCAAATCCAGGCAGTCTGAGTGTAGAATGCTTGCTTTTAACCATAACATCAAATTGTCATTGATCTTGTTCAAAGATTTGTTGGTAGTTTCAATCTCTTTTCAGAGGGAGTGACTGCTTTCTGGGCCTGATCTTTAAATTCATGCCTCCTCTGGCTTGTGCTCTCTCCTGCAACCTTCCAGTTTGAGCTAAGCCTTTTTATTTAAATCCTTTCAGACCAACAAGCTTCTTTTCTCTTTCCAAGTTGGAACCTTAGCCACTTGGCCAGCAGCTCCACAGCTTTGCCTTTAAAAATACCACTTCTCTGGATGGCTTTTCCTGTAGTGCTCTGGGAGTCCCTCAACTTCTAATTAACTCAATGCAGTTTCCTTTCAATTCTGTGTCACATTTCCTCCAACAGTCTCCAGGACCCCTCACATCTATTTCTCCTGTTCTGTCCCAAACACAATAGCACCAGATGCCAACCTCAGCCACAGCACAGCCCGATACACATACGCGTATGACAGATAATCATCATGTGCATCACTTTCTTCACAAACCTTTAAATCCTTCAGATAATATTTTAATATAAAAATGTCCAATCATATAGTAGCTACCTGGGTAGCAATTTTAAGGACTTGCATACTCCCCAGGGCCTGGCTGACGTCAATAATGGCAGTCAGCTTTGAATATATTTAGAAACATGAAATAATTCATGATGGCTTACTTACAGACTCACAGCATTTCAAACCTTCTATAGAAATATATGTGTATTTATATAAATATATGTAGTTACATAAATATACTTAAATACAATGCAGATGTATACTTTAAATAGATACACACTTAAGTATATATAAATAATTTAAATAAAAATACATTCATATATAAATAAATATACAAACATAAATATAAAAACATTTATGTCTATATGTGGGCAAAATTGCAAGCAAGTTCTCCCCTGCCCTTAGTCTATCTCCACATTGGTAGTGGTATAAGGGGTGAAGAGCAGTAGCCCATCTCCATATGAGTAGATGCTACAAGGGGCTGGGAAGGCAGCAAGCACTGGGACCAGAGAGCATTTCTTTTGGTTCTTCAGAGCCAGGACAGGGAAACACATGGGTGAGTGGAGTATATTAGTTCTTGTAGGCAATAAATGGGTTTCTCTCACTTATTTTTCCCTTTGACCTATTTTGGCTTCAAAGGTTTATCTGCCCAAGGCTGGGAACATATTTTTCTCCCCTGGAGTTACACTATACTTAAAAATTGCCAAAAGCACAGTAACTCATATTTAAAAGATTAGAGGTCATATCCTCCAGTTTTTAATCTACAAAATGTTTTTATTTTCTTATAAAAACACACAGTTATGGAATACAGTGACAGACCTTATTCATTTTCAGAAACATTTTCTGGAATTTGCAGGTCTGTTTTGGGGGAGGTCTCTCAGATTTGTGGTGCTAATAACTATGTTGGTACTAGTTGAACTTAATTTTCCATAATTAACAGTAATTTTTCAGAAGAGTTTAGAAAATATCCTCATTGTTCACTGTTTTGAGTAGATGAAATTTTTGAAATGAGCTTCTAATAAGTACTTGTCATCTCTTTGGGAGATGCATAGATCTCTAGAGCAAGTTTGCCAACAGCAAGTAATTTTAAAATTCCTTCAGGCTGTTATGATCTATCATTTGAAAAGCTGTATAGATGCCTCCAAATGAAGAAAGTTCATTATGATCACTATATTTCAAACTTGAAACAGCCTTGTTGTTATGAATATAAAATAACATGCCATATTCTAATTTTAACTGAGCTCCTAGAACAACTGTCTGCCCAAGCCATTTAAGAATTAGTGCGTATTGTGGTGAGGCATGATGCTGAAGTTCACAGTCTCTAGAATCAGAAAGACGAGCATTTGAACACAGTGAGCTACCACTCCTGAGCTATCTGACTCTGCACAACTTCCTTCATCACTCTAGGCTGCAGATTCCCCATATGAAGAGAGGGATAATAATAACAATATTATTTAAAGATATTAATAATGTTTGCTCTTCAGAAATTTACAGTCTCTCTACCTAAGCAGATTGCAAGCTCTGGAGTAGAAGGAATAGCTAATTAAAACAACTATCCCCCATAAGGCATCTGTCATAATGACTTGAACATAAGGGAATCAAAACTATATTTTTCAGCTCACAGTTTGCTTCCAACATGCAATATTGCCAACCAGTTTCTAAAAAAAGAAA